AGATTAACGAAAACTTTCGAGATTGGCCCATAACCGATTTATTTAGTGCTTTCTCTTACGCCCGTGACTATGAAATAACATCGCTTATTTTAATGTCGATATTATCTTCATGGGCGTGGTCATGATTACGAATCACCATTGTTGTTTTTTTTTAATCAATTATTAAGTATATATATTTGTATGTCACCGGGTCGCATTTTACTTACAAACCAATAAAATAAGTCTTGAGATTCTTATAACCTCTTATCGATAATATCCTACGATTCCAGTTTTAATTTGCGCATGGTTGTTATTTACTAACGCAAACAATACCAATGACGACGACAAATCTAGATAGTAACATAAATGACAAAGGCTAAGTATTTGTCTACCACTTAGAGAGACATTTAAACGGTACCACAAAACTTAAAATACTATCGACAGTTTCGAAGCATACTTTGTCGTTTAGTATCGTTACGTTAATATTACTCTTATTAATGCGTCATACCCTGTGAAAAACAGCATTTGCATTCTGTCCAAATCCCGACAACGAAGACAACGAGGGCGTGGCAAAACACTAGATCTAAAGGGGGTAACAATAGCTTAGCACGTGCGTTTGAAAACTTTGTACATATCTTAACCGCGAAATCCTAACTAAAAGTCTTACTCAGCGCTGCCTTCCTGACTGATAAAGGTCCCTTTTGCTTATGTCGTGTTGGACAATTCTTCTGAAAAAAGATATTTTCTTTACTTGTAAGGTTTAAGATTCAACTTAGCCTCTACTTTCTTTTCGACGAAGGAATAAAACTCTGGGAGTTTGTTCTTTGCGTTTTTGGGCAAATAAAAAAACTTGTGAGGATGAACCATGATGTCAAGAATTTGCGTGATGAGACTCTCGTCCTGAGGAAAAAAACAAAAAAAAACAAAATGAACATCCAACAAAGACCACATTGTTATTCCAACAGTTCAAGCATTTTAGGGAGGAAACCAGATGATGCGTGTAGAAATCTTGGTTTTTGAGGTTGCTACGTATACGGAGAGCTCCGATGCAACCTCGTCTAACCTCGTCAAGTACGAACAGGGAGTAGCATTTTATCGCTATGAGAGTCGGGGTAAGCTCCGGGTGGATTGGCCTCTAGGCTTGATTACAGACTGAACTTTTACCCACGTGACACCATCAGAAATTGAGCTGAAAGCTATAACAATGCTTTTTAGCAGCCACGGCTTTCCGCGGACATGACTTACCTGTAATATTTTGCGAAGACTGCTGTTTCCATATAACTTGCCGTCTTGAACAATAGACTTCACCAAAGATCTGTATTTCTCTACCAAAGAAAAATGAAAACGCACTGTTAGAATAAGTTACCGCCAAAAGCGTATAAATGACACGTGAAAGGAATATTCCTTGAAATCATTTGAAACAATCTCAAGCTCCTGAAATATCATCATTTCGAAATGTACTTCGTTCTACAGTGCCGTTAACCCTTTAACTCCCAGATCAAATTTGTCATTCTCCTTACTGCCAACCATACAATTCTTATAATGCTAGTTCCGAGAATTTAGTATTGAATCAACTTATTGTCCCCAAATTGATAGTTCTCTTTATTCTCATCACTTATCTGATTGATATTTTATTGATATTGTAAGGAGAAATTCTGTCTTGGTCACTCATGGGATTTAAAGGGTTAAAGTAATCAATAAGTGACGCTTAACGTCGAACAATTTTGCATTTTTCATTTCGTTCAGCAATAAAAGAAACGATTTGTCGTCTGCACCCTTCCTAACAACATTTGCAAAATTATATCAAGAAGTTATTACAATTTAGAGCGAATGGCACTTTCTCCCGCTCAAAAAAATTTGCAAGGCCAAGAAAGAATCATTCGTAATTAAAAGATGATGATAGAGTAGTTTCCAATTGACCAACAAAAAGTAATCACAAAAGCTTATCATAACAAAGGGGTGACATCATCATTAGCCAATGAGCACTCATAGGAAAAATAAGAAAAGGATGAAAAACGCAGGAAAACAAGGGCGGCCAATTCACGACTGGTTTTCGTATTGTGTCTGATTGGTTAAGAAGATGGCGAGATGGACCAATCACAGACCAAAATAATGCAAAATCAAAACAAACTCTGATTACTTTCGCAACTAAATTAAAAATTGCTCGAAAATGGACAAAAACAAAAAAAAACATAACAAACCAAAGACCAAAAACCAAAACAATGCTTGTCTCATAAAGAAAACCATCTACCTTGAAATGTAACGTAGAAAATCTTAAACCCTTCGGCCATTTCGTTGGTGCTTTTGGAGGTAAACTTGACATAGAGATCCTTGCTTCTCGAGATAAAAGCCACAGGGTTATCATAAGACTCGCATGCGTAGTAGGTAGTCTTTGAAAATGGGCTGGCATTTTTGCGCATGATTAGATGATCTGAGCAATCCATGGTCAGCGGTAATGATATGTTTGGTATAAGTAGAAGTAAGCCTCGACCTTCGGGACATCGTATGTTCCAGACACACTCGATCCCTTTGGGGTAGGGATCGGGGTGGTTTGGTGATGTGATTACACCTGACATCGATGTTAAATTTCCACCACAAATTGTATCTAAAAATTAACAATAAGTTAGTTAGTTAATTGATAAATTACCTAGTAAGATAATCTCGTGGACTGAATTCAAATTTTTCAAAACCTCATCTCCAGTTATTTTGGGAAAGAACTCTATCATGAATGCCAATATTTTAAGCAGATCTGTGTGACTTTCAGTCAATGATAAGTAAACACTTTATAGAA